CCTACTGGTGAGCACCACCCTACCTACTGGTGAGCACCACCCTATTGGTGAGCACCACCCTATTGGTGAGCACCACCCTACCTACTGGTGAGTACCACCCTACTGGTGAGCACCACCCTACTGGTGAGCACCACCTACTGGTGAGCACCACCCTACTGGTGAGCACCACCTACTGGTGAGCAGCTCCCCTCCATGGCCTGTGCATCAGCTTCCGCCTCCAGGTTCCTGCCCTGGTTGAGTGCCTGTCCTGACGTCCTCTGATCTCGAGCAGCGATGGGAACGCGTAAGTCAAACAAACCCTTTCCTTCCCAGGTTGCTTTTGGTCATGGTGTTCCACCACAGCCGTTGTCACCCTGACTAAGACAGTGTCACAGCCCCTGGAGTATCCCTGGGGCTGGTTCTCAGGAGTCAGGACCTACTGGGCCTTCCTGAGCACCGCCAGGGATAGGGAGGTCTCTCCATGCCTGAGACCAGCATGCACGCAGAGGGCTGACGTATAAATAAGGGTATTAAGCAAGAGCTGCGGGGTGAGCACACCCAAAGCCTTGGCAGGGCGTGAGTAAGCACGCACGCAGCAATGACCACGGTGTAAAAATAACTAACCTAAGCAGCAGCTGTGCCCTCCACCACCAAGAACGCCATTGTTCTGAGTAATCAGGACATGGAGGCCAATCCTGCCCACCAGGAAGAGGCTGCTCCGTGTCCTTGCAAGAGGAAACCCATCCTGGGGCGGCCACTCCCTCGGGCCCCCCTCGGAGTGGGAAGACACACCATTTTCAGAGTTGAGGAGCCAGCAGGCCCGGAGCTCAGGCTTGGCCCTGTGACACCTGGTTGTCACAGTCTCCTGCTCCCTGACCTGTCTCCCATCCAGATGGCCTGTGGACACCTCTCTCCAGACTCATCTGGTCACCCGTGGAAGCTGCCCTGGGTGGAGAGACACCTCCTTTCACCCGAGGGGCCTCACCAGCCTCAGACGGCATCAGCAGAGTGATTCTGGGGGGGGGGGAGGATTCCTGCAAAGTCACCTGTGCAGCTGCAGAGGGAACGGGGTGGGGGTGGGGCTGGCTAGGTGCCGCCGCCGCTGGGCTTGAGGGAGTCTGTGCGCAGCTGAATGGATGTGAGGGGTCCCAGATTTCCCGCCTCTGAGGTAAGATGGTTGTCTTGGAAGTGGGTTGGTTTTGGTTGGGGGGTGGCTTTTTCTTGGTTTTTCCTTTCCCAGGGCATCTTGGAACTGGTGGCCATTAACTGCTACATCTTGGGGTTGGCCTTTGGCAGCTGCCTAGGCACGAGCTTCTGTCTGGATATCTTGGGTCTCACAGGCACATTGCATGCCTGTGAACTAAGCCCTTACACCCCAAACTCTTCCTCCTGCTAACCGCGCCCCTTGGGCACACAGGAGCTTTCCTGGCCCACACCCCCTACAGCCACAGGGCCCCACAGCTTTTTATGCTGGTCCCTGGCCCCAGGAAACATTCCCCGCCCCTCTTGCAGGCTTTCCTGCCTCACACACACACAGCTGAACCTGACAGCCAACAGTGTCCATGCTCTTGATGGCCACGGGCCACATGACCAGAATCCTCCCGTGCCGGCCACTCCGGTAGCCTCTGCTCTCCTTGTATATTCTTTGTGCTGCCCAGGGCACCACACCCTCTCCGGTCCACACCGCCCTAGGTGGCGGATAGTTGTCCCCTTCCTATGTTGTTCTTGTTGCCACCATGCTGTGTGGGTCTGGTCTCAGGATGTGCCCACTGGTCCATCCTGAATGCCAACGCATAGAATCTCAAGTGGGGCTTGGGACCCAGCGCAGGCTGAATTCACACACCTGTAATTATAAATGTCACACCCTCCAGCAGGGTCTGGACTAGACCTACTTCACTGCAGTCTCCAAGAAGAGCTTGGCAATTATCAATCACTACCAGCTCCCAATTAGGTGTCCCACACTGGGCCACAAGAGTCCGACCCCCCCCATGTGCATTCCCAGGGCCCACTGAGCCTGTGGAGACAGGAGGGTCTTGCTCCCCAGGCCTGGGATGTGGATAGACTCACCGGGCTCTGGCGCTATGAGGAGGCTCAAAGGACCTGTGTACTTCTTGGAGCTTTGTGGTCACACAGCTTGTGAGGCCAGCTAAGCTATTTCAACTGTCTTAAGGACTTCTCAGGTGAGTCATTAGGGTGACTGAAATAACTGTACTGATGACATGTAGCGAAGATATTCTGACCGACTGACTAAAAGGCCACGAGCCCAACCTGAGGACACTAAGTATCATTCCCAAGTTCCTCTCTGAGGGCTCCCTGAGCCCATGGTCTAAACAGAGAAATGAGAAACCCAGCTGGCATTAACTGTCCAGCTTCTCCCACCACAGAAGGGACAGCCTAGCCTCTCCAGATGCCCCGGGCCGGGGTTCCACACTGCCTTCTGCTCTGGGGAGTGTGTAAGCAGCGCACTTTAAGGGAGGCCTGCTGAGTGTCCTTAGATCAAGGGTGTGAGTGTGTCTAAGCCCAGCTTGGCTGTCCGAGCCAAAGCTGTGCTGCATCACGTTTCAGCTCACAGTTGGTTAGAAGTTAGCACAGTGCCAAGGTGTTGCCCAGCAGCTCGCCACCTGCCCATCACCAGGGACCAACACTTGAGGCCGCTTGCGGCCTCCAGTCTGACTTCTTGGGCAGACACGCAAAGGGGATTTAGCTAACAGCCCCAGATGGAGTCTCAGAACGTTCCCCAGAGCTCCCATGATCATCTCAGATGTTTTCGGTTGGGGCAGACGCTTTCCTAAGCATTATGGGCCAGGATTAGCAGATTAGAAGAGGGACTAAGTTCTTTTCTGGTGGGCCACACCTGGCCCTGTCACACTGTGGCCCTACAGCAGGAAGGGGTGTCTGCACTGTAAATAAGGAGTAAAGGGGGATTTCACAGCTCACTCCAGTGAGTCAAAATTGTGTTTAACAATCATTATTAACTGCCAGGCGGTGGTGGCACACGCCTTTAATTTGGGAGGCAGAGCCAGGTGGATCTCTGTGAGTTCGAGGCCAGCCTGGACTACAGATTGAGTTCCAGGACAGGCTCCAAAACTACACAGAGAAACCCTGTCTCAAAAAACATTATTAACTAAAAATTCCTCCTTCTGGTGGATCTTTGCTAAGTGTCCCGCAGGCCATGCTGTGGCTGTGAGTGAGCTTCTGGCCTCTTCCCAGATGCCTCCCCTGATCTCCAGGCCCAGTCCTTCAAATTCTTCCAACACCTGGCAGGCTCAAGATGAAGGAGTAAGCCTCAGGAAATGGAATTCTGGCCAGGTCTCACCTTGAGATCTTTGCCTTAGTTCATCGGCCTGAGGCATTCTGTCCTTGAAAGAGCTAATGCCAGGCCCTCGGGACGTGGCTTCATTGTTCCCTCTTCAGGGCAAATTGCCAACGTAGCCCATGGCTGCTCCCTAGCACATCATCAGGGGTAGCCAGTCACCTTGTGACCACTTGGAGTCCCTAGTGTAATTTTAAGAGCCATTCTATTTCTGTCCGCAACCCTCCACCGCAAAGAAGGCTTCACGTGGGTGGGAAGTGTGTTTTCTTTTGCACATCCCTCCAGCGCTCACTCACACACTTCCCAGCACGAGGGCCAGCCTCGGCAGATGCCTGTGGATGGAGCGGGGAGGCCCCTGTAGATACCTGGCTCACTTGGCTCTGTGAGAGCTGCTGGCCGCGTGTGGGCCAGCCCCTCCTACCCCTCTGCCCTCCTTGCTCTAGCGCTGGCCCCACAGATCTGTTTCCACCCCTGCAGCATAGTTCCCTCTCCACTGGCATGTGGCTGCTCACCCTCCACATCCCACGTCAGGGCCCCTTCCAAGGTTCCTTTCTTAGCGGTGAGTCCTACGCCGCAATCTTATGGAGACCTCTCTGTGCTCTGTTTCCTGAGGCCCAAGCACCTCTTGTGGTCTCTTCCCACCCACTTCAGTTCTTCTGAGAGGCTGGCCCATTCTGGCCTAATCTATGCCAGAACATTCCAGAATCCTCACACTCACACTGAAGCACCAGGATAGCTTGTGGGGGCCGTACGCTTCTCGCGTGAGACACTCTTTGCTCAGCTGCAGTGTGCAGACATGACTACGCCCATTCCCATGTCTCTTAGGTACTTGGATGAGCTCTAGAGCCT